GGCCAGCAGCCAGTTTTAGAGAGAAACAAGGCAGCGGGTGAGTGATGGCAAGTGCACCGGCCTTTAACTCTTGCTCCTCCACAGCTCCTGCCAGGCAGAAGCACCTCCTGGGGCCAGGTATCTAATTTAGCAGCTAAAACAGATGGCCAGGTCTTCCAGCACATCTGCTGGATGTGCCTGCTGTTCACAGAAGGCCTGTAGCTGTCTGGTTTGAGGGGGGAGTTGTTAGGAACAAAAAAATGTGTTTCATTCTGTGGTAAGTGCCATAGCCCAGTCCATTGTCACCAAATTTGCGGCCAGTTTGTCGTGACCAAATTGTCTTGCCTCACGGTTGTGATGACTTTGACGGTTCAGAAAAGTGAGGTTTGGAGCCTGCTTTCTAGGCTCAAAGTGTTTTGTGCTGTATACCATTGTAAAAAATGCGTATGTATTTTTAAAGAATTACTGGCAGTGGGACACGTCTGTCTCCACGCTGGGACACAGTGTGGATTCACTGGGGAGGGCAGTGTGCCATGCAGTGTAGGGAGGAGGACAGGGTTAAGTGAGCACAGAAGCAGGACTGAGGTACTGGGAGCCAAATACTGCCCTCTTTTACTGGGGGAGCTGAGTGATGTTGCACTGGGTGCATGGCTGGCCCCAAAGAAAGGGAATTTTAAGAAATTAACGAAAACTTGAACATGGCCACGGATGAACATAAACGCTGTTGTAGTCAAAGCCCTGGGGATCAGAAGCTTTTTATGGCAGGGGCTGAGGCCCAGGGCAGTTGCGACAGCTTGAGAAGCAGAAACTTTTCTGGTAGTTTGCAAGGCGGTGGAAGAAAACAAATCTATTAGTAGTGACACAACTCTAGAAGCCAATTCTTTAATTTTAAGATCTTTTATGCATTCCAGTACAGACTTATCTGCTCCACCATAGCTTTGAGTTGATGAAAAAATGTTTTGTTTTTTTTTTTTAAAAAAAAGGCAAAATGGACACCTATAAAATTAAGAAGTAGATGGATTATGGACACTGATTACACCAAACACAAACATCAAACCACAGGAATTATACACAGTCCTAAGGCAAACTATTGTAATGAATGTATGCAATTGCACTTCTGTCTGTAGAAAGCTATGACACACACCGCTGCCCAAGCACTTGGTATCCTGGGTGAAGAGGACATCCCGCTGGATATCTCTGCATGGAGAACAGCAGCTTCAGAACCAGGGAATACCCGGAGTGTTGCTATGCCATACACTTGGCTTGTTGGGTGAGTGACCAACAGACCTAGCAGTGCCCAAATTAATTTATTTAAGAAAAATGAATATTAAACTGGTTTCACTGGTATCTTTTATTTTGTGCTTCTCCCTTAGCTGGAAATTCCAAGGCCTTTGACCACAGCACGTCCATCTGCTGAGACAGAAAAGGCAATCTGATATCCCGATCCTGTGGAAGTCAGCAGAAATCCTGTCGTGAGTCTAAGCTCCCCACAATTTTTATTTCCCCCGAGCACGTAAAAAGCAGTAACATTGCCAATTTCTCTCCACACCTCAAGAGTCTTGCCAAGTGCAGCATGAAGGAATCCACACAAACCAGTGTGAAGGCACCTCTGTTCTTAACAGAAGCAGGAACAGGCAGACTAGTGAGCCACTTGACAAAGCATTTCATCTTCATCAGAAGCTCTTCAGAATGATATGCAGAAAACTGGAGTGAACAGGCAGGGAATAAACTGTGTGTAAGAAATGCATCTCTGTAATCTCCTATCAGTTATTGATGCGCTTCTGCTCAGAGCAAAATAGCTCATGTCTTAGTTTTATGTATGTGCTCATTTATTTGTGAAATTTATTGGTAGCTATACAAAGTGCCTGTCAATTACTGCTAAGTTTTCAACTTCAGTACAATCAAGTGGTTCCACAGGTAGACCATGCTGCATGCTAAATTCTTTCTCCCATCCATTTTCAGGCACTGCATTTCCATGTCAGGAGACATCCTGTCACTGCAGTAGGCAATTCTGATGTAGCCCTGGTCTGAGCAGGAGGCTAGACTAGACGACACCCAGAAGTCCTTTCCAATCTAAGTTTTTCCTGTGATTGCATAAAGGCAGCAATAGTAACTGCCAATACATCTTTATCTAATCATCTTCTATTTTGCAAAGCTGTGTCTCATCCCTTCCTTTATGAAATTTAAACGAAGTTATGGATGGATCCTTGCTCTGAGAGGATAACCACTCTGTTAGAAGAAATAAAAGCCCCAAACCACTTTTGTTTTCTGTGAAATCAGGTGACTAGATAGGGATAAAACAAAAAATGCCCCAAAACCTCCAATGAGAAGAAAAACTCATTTCATGTTCCATCTGGGTCAATGTTTAGAAGCTACTCTGCCAGGTCGTTCCTCAGAGCCCCTGCTCTTCATTTGCAGTGGTTTTTATTAGCAGCCTGCATTTAATACCATGTCTTCAGCCTGGCAAGTATCCAGCACTGCTCAGTAAAATCAGTGTGTACTTGTCACGAACATTCCCAGCACCCTTGACGTATTCTGTCTGGATAGATGGCTAGCTGGCTGAACAGAAGTGAGCAGCATGTGGAACAGGATAGTGTCAATGGAGCTTGTGCGAATCCCTGCAGCACCACTCAAGCCTGCCTGACCCTGGATAACAAAGCCACCCCAACAGCCCGCTCCCCCTCCAGAGTTTGACTCTAACCCTTCACTAGGCCCAGAGTAAGACTGCTGCGTGCTGTCGTTAACCCTTTGCTAGCCACTATCGGACTTGCTGTTCTAGCAGATCGCTTCTTTGGCAGGAGGAAGGCTGTCAGCTGTTCACACTGCAGCACAAACTGGTCATAACCATGTTCCTAGAGCAGCTCTGTGAACCAGTCAGTTGCGACCCCTCCTCAAGTGCTTGGGAGAGGCTGCGTTTTGCCATTTTTGCCACAAATAGGTTTTGGGAATCTTCAGACTTGCTGCAGACTGAGAATCTGCTCTCGCTGGTAACAACTAAAAGTGCCCCTCTGCCTCAGGTAAGCAAGGCTGAGCCCAGAACCACAACCAGCAAACGTTCTGACCTCAGCTGAAGGCTGAACCCCAACCCTGGGAAAAATCTGGGGAGAGAGAAGGGATTGGTATTGTAAACCAGTGGTGTGCTCGTTATGGAGGCCTGGGCAACAGCATCCAATACAACAGAGATTTACATGTACCAACTCGCAAGCTCTTCGTACTCACAAACTGAATATACACATTATGTACACCATGTAATACACCAGGTGATGGGACAAAAGCAGCATACCCTCTATAAACACGTAGTACTTAATGCTGTCAGTACAGCACTGTGCTCCACTAAGTGCTGCTAGGCCTATGACCAGAGACAAGGAAAAACGTGGAATGATTGCTTAAGGTGTAACCCTGGGCTAAAAGGGCTAAAAGTAATGAAGATGCACACTTCACACTGGAAAATGAGAATCATGCCAGGCATCTCAGAAATATTTGCCCTTATTGCAAGGTGATATGGTATCAGGCAACCTCTCTTTCGTTTTGTTTTTACAATTGTGCTGTTGGAAATATCCATAGAATGAAACATATGGCAAGCCTAGGAAGAGCCCAGTTCTTCCCTGCCGATATTTCATTGCAACAGAGTGACTTGGAGGCCACAGGAGCCGCACACCTGATGTGGAGCGGAGGAAGAAGGTCTGAACAAGGCATGCTGTGACAGATCTTCACCTGATGGCAACACATCACCTGCAGTCCATGTCACAGCAGCAATAGGAGCTGGATCAGAGCTTTGGCCCCACCGTGTCTCACTGGACACAGACTCCCCCCAGAAAGAGAACTTGAAATGCTTCCTTTAAGTATAGAACTGTCTCCTGGTGTCTGAATATCTGACATTTACTAGAAATAATACCCAAAACTTAGAAAAATTACCTTTATTATAATGCTTTCTCCTTTCTCTAGTTCGCTTGCTTTGGGCATTTTACAGCTCCCTGTATACCATGAGGAGACACAGGAGATCATGACTAACTGAAAGAAACCTTCAGCAAGGGGCTGGAAAATCCTCATATATTTATGAAGAAATAGATTCTCCTGCCTTGCACATCCAGAGAATCATCTTGATGAGTAAACTCTTTGAAATTAGCTGGTTTTCTTTAAAAGAAAAACAAAAGAAAATAAATTCAAGTTGATGAGTCTCTGGATATCAAAAATGTGTACCTTTTTCCCTCCTCTGTGCTCCTGTCAAGCACTGGCACACCAAAGACAAGGCAGCGCAAGGGGCTGCTGTGTGGTCCACAGAGACTGTATAGGCTTTGGACCAATGGAGAAACATTCCCACTTGTCCAGCAGCATGTAGCTCCAGCCTGCTCCGTCTCCTGGGAGCTAGAGGATCATGGGTAATGGCTGTGAGAGCATAACGCCCTGCAAAGCAGCACTGTCTCAGGAAGTTGTTCAGCTACACCAAATGCCACTGGCATCAGAACCTAAACACTTCCGAAATTTCTCCCTAATTTTTCACCCACTTCTTCTGAAGCACAGGGGTGTTTTGGGTGGCTGCACCACAGAGGAAGATAACAAACCCACTTTTTGTCTACCTAAGAACACTGTGTGTTTGTCCCCCTGTGTATTAACATACAAAGAAGCCAGCATTTGGCTCAGAGACTCAGACTTACACAGCTGCCAGGTAACTAAGGGTCCTGGGTAATATAAGTAGGTGTGAAACAATCGTGCAATGCCTCCAGCCTTAGGTGAAAGCCCAGAGCCTCGTCTATGTGAACAAAGTGATGTGCAGAACTGCTGGGACTACAGGCCCAAAGAAATAGCTGCCTCAATGCCGACTGGAATAAATAAACGCAGCAAAATACGATCAGCCATAAGCAACAATGGGGCATTATGTGCCGAGGGAACAATGGCATCTTCTGTAACACTGGGAACAAGAGATGGACAAGACACTGAGTCAACCTATGAACAGATGGATGTGTCCTCCTGTAGCATGCTCTGTGCAGATTATGGCAGGAAAAGATAGCTTTGGCAGGTCTTCACGCCCACCTGCCGCTGGAAGCAAAGCTGCGGCTGAAGGAAAAGTTGACCTCACCGCTTTTGTACTTTCCCCATGCTCCAAATGGCACTATGACAACTGTGCTGTTGTCTTCGGTGCCAAATTGCATTGCCTGAGAGAAGAAACAAATTGTCAGTATTATCATCTTGCTTGGAAAAGGAAACAAGTGTCTGGCTCCACGTGGGACAGCGTGCCCTGAGGCCCAAGACTTCCTTGCCCATTCCCAGTCCTGATGCTGCATTCTGGTATGTCCCGGACCTTTCCACAGGATACGCCACCACCCAGAACCCTGCTGAGAAACTAGCCATTTCTGTCTGTGCTGGTGACATATTCAGCACAGGAATAAACTGCAGTTACAATCCCACACAGTTCAGTGCATCGTGAGCTAAGCAAGTTAATTGAAATTATGCCCAGCAAGTATGTGGCAAGACCCAGGCTGAGAAGAAAGGCCAGCTGACGGGACTAGTGAATGTCTCAACCAGCACAGTTCAATTCACTTGAATGTGTGGTTGTATACTTGGGGTTTTTTTTAAAACCAAACCAAAAACCACAACAAGCATTTGGTGCCAAAAGAAGCCCCGGCATTACCTGCTCAGTGACAACGTGGGCAGCTTGAGCAGAAAAATGGTAA